AAAAAAAAAAGAAAAAGAATAGTATGTACATAAAATAGAATGTTATTCAACTTTAGGAAGGAAGGAAATTCAGATATGTTTTATTGGGTGTCTGTTTATTGTTAATCATCTCACATTTAATGCTGTTATATTGGCCTCCTAATTTCAACATGAGTTTGGAAGGAGACAAATGGTGAATCCAGAATAGTAGCTGAGTTCACATAGATAGAAGACATTATGGTTGGTGCTGGGTTTGGGGGAGAAAGAAAGGAAAATCCCTATTTCACAAGCACAGAGTTGAAAAATGTTCTAGAATTTTATGGTGGTAGTGGCTGAACAACAGTGTGGGTTGAACTGTGCAACTCCTAATGGTTAAAATGGTCATTTTCATGTAATGTATATTTTGCTACAATAAACACATAGATTTTATTGTGTTTTTAGATGTATCATCAAGTTAACCTTGCAAAGAAATAAACAGGAATAGGAATCTACTATGACTCCATTTGTTTTTAATCAAAGAAGCCAAACTATGTATAGAAAAAGTTATTGTGGAAAAAGACCAGAAGAAAAAAGAATTTTGTATAATGAAAATGGTTTTGGGGCTGGGAAGGTGGCTCAGTGGTAGAGTGCTTGCCTCACATGCCTGAGACCCTGGGTTCAATTCCTCAGCACCACATAAGCAGAAAAAGCCAGAAGTGGCACTGTGGCTCTCGTGGTAGAGGGCTCGCCTTGAGCTGAGAGACCACATCTAGGCCCAGAGTTCAGGCCCCACGACTGACCAAAAAAAAAAAAGGAAAAAAAAGAAAAGAAAATGGTTTTTATGTAATTGGAAAAATGACAAAGTTTAAGCATATAAATCCCCAATTAAAAGAACTAATATCTACATTATATAATTGTAAGTAATGAGAGACAAGTGACCCATGGCTCAAAGCTTTATTGTGGGTCAGACCTTCTGGGTTGATCAAAGCAAGAATGGAAGCAGCGGCTGTGGACTGGTGTGAGTGGAATTTAACCAAAATTTTAGGGGACAGTCACATGGGTCACATTACGTGGACTATGGGAATTTGGGGGTAGAGTCAGTTCCAAGAAATGTTATGAAGAGGTTACATGGACTATAGGAATTTGGGGGAGAGTCACATTCGCAGAAGGAGTGTAACCAGATGTTGCAACTGGGGCAGGAATTTGTTCATCACATCAGGAAAACAATACAGCATCATGGAAATAAAAACTTACCAGATTTTTGTAAACTGGTAGGGACACAGGGCAGGGCTTTAATTGGCAAGCTGCCTCTGAGCTCTTAGAATAGTGTTTCTTTTTTTTGGGGGGGGGTCCAGTCGTGGGGCCTGAACTCTGGGCCTGGGCGCTGTCCTTCAGCTCTTCAGCTTAAGGCTAGCGCTCTACCACTTGAGCTACAGCGCCACTTCCGGCTTTTTTTCTTTGTTTTGTTTTTTTTTTTTTGCATATGTGGTGCTGAGGAATCGAACCCAGGGCCTCATGTATGCAAGGCAAGCGCTCTACCACTGAGCTACCTTCCCAGCCCCAAGAATAGTGTATGTTTCTATCTAAATGTAGATATATATTTATATCTTTTATACAAGTATATAATATAATCTAGAAACATATATAAATATAACTATCTGCCAAGCCTTGGTGGCTCATGCTTGTAATCCCAGCTACTCAGGAGGCTTAGATCTGATGATCTCGGTTCAAAGCCAGACCAGGCAGGAAAGCCCATGAGACTCTGACCTCCAATTAACCACCAGAAAACCAAAAGTGGCCCTGTGGTTCAAGTGGTAGAGTGCTAACCTTGAGCTGTAGAGCTGAGGGACAGCACCCAGGCCCAGAGTTCAAGCCCCATGACAAAAACAAACAAACAAACAAACAGCTAACTGTCTATATTTGTAGGCATAAATATATCTATGTTTATAAATTGTTTATAAATATATAATATAAATAAATATAAATTATATGTAAATATAAATTATATGTGTATTTCCACATATCTGGGAGATTTTACACTAAGTACTATAAAGTATATTTCTTAAATTCATTGCAAGAGATGAAAGCATAATGCAAAATGCAGATTGGAAAAATAAAGTAGCTCTCAAAATCCCACCTCTCTCTCTCTCTCTCTCCCTCTCTCTTGGTCTCTCTCTCTCTCTCTCTCTGCTAGTTCTGGGGCTTGAACTTAGGGCCTAGGCACTGTCCCTGAGCTTCTTTTGCTTCAGGCTAGCGCTCTACCATTTGAGCTACAGCACCAGTTTTGCCTTTTTATTTTCATGTGGTACTGAGGAATTGAACCCCGGGCTTCATGTATGCTAGGAAAGCACTCTATCACTAAGCCATGCAGATAAAAGGCTAAAAGATGCTTAAGGTACACAGAGAATTGTTTAAAAGTGAAAGGAACACTGAAAGAAGGTAGTGAAAGTCTTGGCTCCTTGGCCGGGACTGGAACTCAGCCAGCCCACCGGTGCTGAGGTGAGAGCGCCAAATCTGAACTAGATGGACTTCCCTCAGCTTCCCCGTTCCCAACAGGACCACAGGTCCTTCAGACCCACATAAGAAAAGAACTTCAGGTTGTCTCATGCCCAGGAGACGCTCACGAAATGGAAGTATTAGCAAGGGTTTATTTTTGTTTAACAGAGTTAACTAGGGAGAGAGAAAAACCATCTGGCTCCCCAGAGGGAAACAAGAGTTAAAGACTCAACTGGACTTAAAGACTCAAAGAATTCTCTATGTTTATCGAAAATACAGAGATAATAAAAAAAAAAAAAACCCTAGGGCTCCAGAGGCCTGACAATAGCTGAGTTGTAGAACTTCATTCCTCTGAGAAGCCTCCACCTCACCGTCCCAACAGAGAGCACAAATTTCACCATTTCAAGGCAGTTTTAAATAACCTCACTTAGCATTTAAATGGAGGGAAGCTTAACTGCTTTGCTAATTGTTTTCTGCTTCCAACTTCCATCTGACCATTTTTATATTAATGAAGTATAATATTATTTCCCTCTGTCTTTCCCCCAATCTCTCCTGTCACAGTTGCGCTGAAGGTTTGGCAGGAGGGGGACTTCCTGAATGAAGACAAGAAATCTCTCACTCCCTACCCGGGAGGATCCACTTCCCCCAGTAAGCTCCTCTGACCTTTGCCCTTCTCAACATTGTTTTGGACTTTGTCTTTCTTAGCAGATTGTAGTAAAACCTCACCACAGACCATTCTTAGACCCAAACAGAATTCATCTATGCGATTTGATTTCTTTTGTCTTTACCTTATTTTAGCAGTAAACATGAACCACCAGATTACAATGCTGGCTCACAGCACTCCAGATTTGTGTGTGTGTGAGAAAGAGAGAGAGAGAGACAGACAGACAGACAGACAGACAGACAGACAGACAGAGACAGACAGACAGAGAAAGAGAGACAGAGAGACAGAAAGACAGAGAGACAGAGAGAGACAGAGACAGAGAAGGGTTGAAATCAGGGCTTAGGCACTGTCCCTGAGCTTTTGTGCTTAAATTTAGTGCCTTATCACTTGAGCCAGACCTCCACTCTGGTTTTTTGGTGGTTAATTGGAGGTAAGAGTCTTACAGACTTTCCTGTCAGGGTTGACTTCCAACATAAATCCTCAGATCTCAACCTCCTAAACCGTCAGGATTACAGGCGTGTGTCACTGGTGCCAGCCAGCCCTCCAGATTTTTAACAACAAAACCAAACTAACAAAATACCCAAGGGTTAAAGGGAAAGCAAGATTTGGCTGAAGTCCACCCAAGGTTAGCTGTAAACTTAATTCTTCCTGAGCTAGGCCAGGCACACTGAGCAGGTAGGCTGGTGCAAGCTCTCCCTCCCGGCTGGATCTATTCCTCCATTCCCCCCTCTGGAAGGAGCTTCTTGCTCAACTCCTCCAATTACAGAGACAGCCACACCCACGCATGGGTGGGGCTGCAAACCCGAGATCCACCACCAGAAGTTCCTGCCAGTTACTAACCTAGCCAATCCTAGAGCAGCAGGGGTGGGCCTGGCCAGGCCAGGAACTGGGGCTTTAAAGGTTGGGTCAGATCCTAAGACCTCATCTACCCCTGAAGTGCTGATTCTGTACGGGGTTCCTGTGCAGCTGCTGCCACCCGGGGTGAGTGACCCTTGCTGATCAAGGCTCATTGGAGACTGAGACTGAGGAGGCCTAGGATATATGGAACATAGAGTAAGGAATAAGAACATCTTCCTGTTTCTCTTTGGTGTGGGGGAGCAGGGAGGGTGATTGGGGGAACCCACTGGGTCCCTGAGACTATTTCAGAAGCTTGTAAAATGGTCCAAATCCAAACTCATGCGCCCTCCCCCCCCCCCCCCCAGACTACCTTACTTAGCTTCTTGTGCTAACCCAAAGCATCTCTTTGCTCAGCATTGCCAGGTAAAATCTTCTGGTCTTACCTGGTGTGGGCAGAGTGGAGGAACAAGTGGCACGGACTTGGCCCGATTCCACGCAGCTCAGCACGGAGGGCCCAGCACCCGGCAATGGGAGCTGCCGGTCAGCTGCTTTCCACACACTGAATCTGCTGACTGGCTTTCAGGAACTTGACCATTTGCCCCTGTTTCTGGATTAGGCATGGAGGGAAAGATGTTGGAGGCACTATTCCCAGTGTGGAACTGCCAGTGTGGGATTGTCCTTCCCAGTTTCTCTAGGGAGAGAAATCCAGAAAAGTTTCATTCCGGAATGAGAGGTCCTAAGATAACCGCTCAGCTTCTGCTGTAGATTAGCCAAGAAGAAAGTGTTAGGTGGTCTTTGGACTGTTTGGAGTATCCTGGACCCCAATTTAGGATCAGATTCCTCATGGGTAATTTTGATTGGTTGATCTTCATACTTTTGGAACAAAACCTGGACCAATTGCATCCACATTTCCTAGATATTGTTTCTGAACCACCAGGTACACCCTTGGTGTTTTCTGAAGCTAATTAGACTGCTTCAACCTAGTTCCTAGGTTGTTGATTTTGGAAGTTTGGCCAAACATTTTCACTTGGTTATTTTAACCCAACCAACTTAGAAAGATGTATATGTGATACTGGAGTTTGAAATCAGTGCGTTAGACTTGCTAGGCAAGTGTTTCACACCGTGTCTCAGTTCCAGCCGCTACTTTATTATTTTTTTTGCCAGTCCTGGGGTTTGAACTTAGCACCTGGGCACTGTCTCTGAGCTTGTTTGTGCTCAAGGCTAGAGCTCTACCATTTGAGCCACAGTACCATTTCCAGCTTTCTGAGTAGTTTACTGGAGATAAGAGTCTCATGGACTTTCCTGCCCTGGCTGGTTTTGAACCGCAGTCCTCAGATCTCAGACTCCTAAGTGGTTAGGATACAGGCATGAGCCACGGGCCCCTCCTGACTTTCACCTCCTTTTTATTGCTTGAGTTATTTTTCAGATTGGGTCTCATTTGTGCCCAGGGCTGACCTTGAACCACAATCCTTCTCTTATACTTCATGCATAGCTGGGATTTCAGGCATAAATTAACTTTACTTGCTATTGATTTGATGGGGAGCTAAGATTATTTGCTTGGGCTGGCCTTCTAATTGCTGCCCACTATGTGGTTGGGGATTACAGGCGTGAGCCACTATGCTTAGTCCCAGGTTAAAAATTTTAATTCCGTGACTGTTGACTTAATTTTTCTGCAAATAAGAAGGCATTTTAAAAACATTAGTCTCATTTCTTTTCCTTTTCTAGGTTTTTGTTTTTAAACCCACAAATACTCTTCTCCTCCTGGCAATCCTTTGCCTGGGAATGGCCTCAACTGCTCCAACATTCGACCACAGTTTGGATGCACAATGGGAGGAGTGGAAGATGGAATACAATAAAACCTACAGCTCGGTGGGTAACACATGGAGTATTTAGAGGGACCCCAGAGAGATTTTTTTGCTTGCTGATGTGATCCTACATCCAGAGGGTAACTAGAAGCCAACCCTAAAAAGGCAATAACCAGGACAGGCACCATAGAATGTGGGTGGACATCCGTGTTCTCTCTGACTATAGAGAATGGCTTCCAGAAGTACAAAGCCATCAGGCCATGGTCTCTCTCCATCTCTGTCAGAAAATCCTCTTGGTGAACCAGGGTTGGGTTTTAAGTAGAAAGAGAGTCCATCACTTGTACTTGTAGAGTGAAGAAGGACAGAGGAGAGCAATATGGGAGAAGACTGTGAGAATGATTGAACTTCACAATGAGGAATACAGCCAAGGGAAACATAGCTTCACCATGGGACTGAACCAATTTGCAGACTTGGTGAGTGTCTTGTGCATTGTTTAGCTCTGTGCTTGCTCTCTCAGTTCTTTACAACATCATCTTGCTTTACAATGTTTACTTTTCTTTTCCTTGAAGACCAAGGAAGAATTTAGAGCAAGATCAAACGGCCTCCTAAACCCAAACACTGTGAGGCAGGGAAAACCCCAAGAATCTCCGGTTGGCGATATCCCCAAATCTGTAGATTAGAAAGAGAAAGGCTGCTTGACTCCTGTGAAGGACAAGGTAGGTGTGTCAGTGTCACATTTGTCCCTTCAACTGCCCGCAGGAAAGCCCAGATGACTTCTCTTCTGAGCTTTGGCTGATTGGGTATGTGTAGTGCCCTGGTTTGTAGTGTTCAGCTATGCGATGGTAATCAGTCTTGCTCTTCGTTTTGTGACTGACAGTCTTTCATTCTCTTTTTAGGGTCACTGTGACTCTTGTTGGGTTTTTAGCTCAACGGAGGCACTAGAAAGACCTGTTCTGGTAGAAGAGGTAGAAATTGCCAAAAGAAAAAAAATCATATCTCAAAATCAAAAGGGAGCCAGGCACTGGTGGCTCACCCCTGTAATCTTAGCTACTCAAGAGGCTGAGAGCTAAGGATCGTGGTTCAAAGCCAGCCTAGGCAGGAAACTCTGAGACTCTTATCTCTAATAAACTACTCAGAAAACCGGAAGTGGTGCTGTGGCTCAAGTGGTAGAGCACTAGCCTTGAGCTGAAAAGCTGAGGGACAGCACCCAGGCCCAGAGTTCAAGATCCACAACCGACAAAAAATAAATAAATAAAATCAAAAGGGAATTGTGTGTGTGGTCCTGATTTGGATATAGACCTTAGAAACCAGTGTCCCACTTAGGTTAAACGCATAAGTACTAATGTCTGATTGTAACACTAATTTTTTTTTGCAAACTTTCTAGGGCTATTGATATTGTATTTATGTCATTATATCGAGAGTCTGAGATAGTTTTTACTTTGGTACCAGAGATACTAAAAGTACAAAACTTATTCTTTCCCTTTATCTAAAATTTTCAGTCCTTTATACGGGAATTTTTTACATTCAGGGGTTGAAGTTAAATGCATGTTTGTAGGCACCCACTTGTAAATGAAGAACAATAACAACTTTATCTCCTGGTTTTTTTCTGCCGAGTCTGTGGTGTCCACACAGTGTTTAAATCAGATGTCACTGTTAATGAGGCCAATGTACTTTAACCATTTCTATAAATGAAAAACTTGCTCTTCTTTCAGCTGGGGTGAACATTGGGGCATAAATGGCTACGTAAAGATTGCCAGAGATCGGAACAGCAGCTGTGGAATCGCCTCATTAGCCATTTACCCCATTTGTGAGCAGCTGGACCATGATCAGGAAGAACTAGTCTGGAGAGAGATGCTCAGAGGAGGGACTTCACCTTCAATCTGACCGGGTGGGATCTACACTTGGATCATTGTGCTCTCAATCTGAGACTTGTTTACTATAGTAAAATATCCAAAATACTTCAATTACTACTCTAAAACACCTCTATGTTAATGCATCTCTGATGACTGACTATTGAATTTATATTGGTTGAAAGTATGTTGAAAAAAATACCTGTTAAAATACATTTTATTTCAAATGTAGTGGTATTTTTTTTTTTCCTTCTGTTTTAAATGCCCTGGCTTTTTAATGTAGTTCAGCCTTTTCTTGTTTTGCTTTCCAGACTTCCATTGACTCACCATCAAGCGCAGTCTGGAAATACTAAATGAGAGTTTTCAGAAATTCAAGTTAATTCACTTCAATTCACAAAGTTTCAATTGTGTGCCGTCCTATGTAATAAGATGAACCTTGTGCAGTCACACTCCTTTATTCCAGGACGATGAGTGACTGCTGTTGATCTCTTGCTGGGCCTTATTTACAATTAAATTATATATATATATATATATATATATATATGTATATGTATATGTAAAGAGAGAACAGAACTATTTGTATAAGAATGTCTTAGAATGTACCCCCCCCATACATAAGCTGAGTACTGTTTCCCAGATATTTTTTTCTGTATACGTGTCGGCATTTTTGATAATGGCTGGTGTCTACTACTTGATTCACAGTCTCCAGTCTGGAAGAAGAGAGTCTCACAGATTTTTTCCCTGGGCTGGCTTTGCACTACAGTTCTTAGATCTCAGCCTCCTAAGTAGCTAAGATTACCAGTGTGGGCCACTGGTGTCCAGCTCTGTGCAGATTTTATGTAAGACACTCTGGTATATAAAAGCAAATAAAAATATTTTTTGAAGATAACTATTGAGCTGGGCTCCTGTAGCTACTCAGGAGGCTGAGATCTAACGATCACAGTTCAAAGCCAGCTGGGGCAAGAAAGACTATGAGACTGTTCTCTCCAATCAACAACCAAAAAAGCTGGAAATGGACCCCATGGCTCAAGTGGTAGAGCACTAGCCTTGAGCACAAAGGCTCAGAGACAGGGCCCAGACCCAGAGCTCAAGCCCCAGGACTGGCAGGCACGCATGTGCATGCACACACACACACACACACACACAAGATAGGAGGATGGCAGAATAGAAATCTTTTCCATTTGAGTCAGAAAAGAAGAGAAAGAAAGTATTGAGAATTGAGAGAGAAAGCGAGGGGAGAAGGACAATATTAGTAGCAGGGATGATGATAAGAACAATAATAATGGGACATGTAAAAGGAGAATGGTCTGTGGAGGGGTTTGCAAGTACAGGGATACTGAGGGGTGAAGAAAATCAAACCACATTTTATATACAACCATTTGTTGGCTATAACATTTGCATTTGGGCCAGTGCCTGTAATTCTAACTACTCAGGAAGTTGAGGTCTAAGGTTCGGGCTAGAAGTCAGCTAGAAAGTTTATAAGAATCTTATCTCCAATTAGTCATCAAACAAGCTAATTAGGTAGCAAAATCCCCAAACTTATGGCTAAAGTGGTAGAGCACCAGCCTTGAGCAAATATGCTAAGCAAGTGCTTGAGGCCTGAACTTGTATTTTATTATAAAGCAAAAGTATGCATTCATGTGGTAGTGTGCACTATTTAAGTAGGAGTCATACTTGAGAGGCTTTCTCTGTGTGTGGGGTTTACACTAAATCTCAGGGATGAGGTCACATAGGTTCTTTTTTGGCTTGTATATGACAAGGAATACTTTATTTCTATGTCATGTAAGGCTGTAGGTTAGATGTTCAGAAGCTGGGGTTTTTAACATAAAGCCCTGTTGGTGGTTATTGATCCCGTCTTTAGATACTGTACTGTTTACAAGGTATTAAGTTCCTATACCTTCCTTCTTTCCTCTTTACCTTCCACATTCTTCCTTCTTTAACTTTTTTCAGTTGTTACCTTTCATATTTTCTTACTTCTGGGTCACAGCCTTGTTATGAAATATACTATTTATGTAATAAGCTTATACACATTTCATCTTGTTTTTTATTCACTGGCTTTAGCATTCTGCTTCATCTTTTGTTTGTCAACTGCTATGAGTTTGATAGTAGTTTGTGGTCACTTGAACTTTAGAAGCAATTTTGGCCCTCATAAGAAGGGTCTGCCTTTAGCCATTGGCTTTCAAAAGAAGCCCTTTCAGCAACAAGAGGAAATAATGCCTACATACTAAGAATGTTCTGTTTTGTCTGAGGCATGAAACATTATCTGCCTGGGGAAGCAACGTCATATACCTGTTATCCATTTGCTTCATTTCCAAATGATGCTCCTGTGTGGTTGGGACATTTGTCAACATCCTTCTCCTGGTTAGACAGAAGGAAAGGAAGACAATAGAAGTGATAATGAGAACTGTTGGGAGTTGTGCATCTTGACCAAGAAATAGAACACTCCTTTCTGTGAGACAAGCTTACCTAGGTCTCATGTAGTGGTAGAATGCACCTATTGAGACTCACTATGGCACTTTGAAATGGCTATTCAGGTGAAAACATACAACTCAGACTATTCAACTATAGAAGGCAAGAATATTCAGACTCATGCTTCACTGGGACTACTCATGTCTTGGGGCTCCCATCTCTTAATACTATTGCAAAATCCACCTGAATTTGGGCAAGACAAATACTCACCCTATAGCAGCAGTCAAGTTCAGTCAGATGGAAGCTAGAATGGATGGTGGCTGCTGGTTTTGGGAAAGAGAGAATGGAGCACAGTTTCAGCTGCGGATAACATTCTAGAAATCTGTGGTGGTGGAAACCGCGTAACAGTGAGGATGTCCCAATGCTATTGGACTGGCCACCCCAAAGTGGGTACAAGTTGTGATTTTTGCTAGACACCAATGGCTCACACTTAACTATTCTAGCTACCCAAGAGACTGAGATCTGAGGTCCCTGAGATCTGAGGTCCACAGTTGAAGTCAGTCCAGGCAGAAAAGTCTGTGAGATTCTTATCTCCAATTAATAAGCAAAAAGCTGAAAGTGGATCAAGTGGTAGAGTACTAGCCTGGAAGAAAATAACCAAGTAAGAGCACAAGGTCTTGGATTCAAGCCCTGGGACTGGCACATAGCAAAAGTGATTTTTATGCAATCTATGTTTCATCAAAATGAGAAAACACAGATCTTATTGTGCTTCTAGAGAGGTTATCAGTTCAATATAAGTAGAAAAATGCATATGAACAGAAATGCACCAGGGCTCCATGTTTGTAAGTAAAAGAAGCCAAATATGCATAAAAAACATACTGAGGGAAGGACATGATGATATTTTTCCTAAAAACTATGTTGTACAATTTAGAAAATTGTCATTAGAAAAATGTCAATTTAATGTTTCTCTGGATTTATGTTTCTCATTCAATTACAAGAACTAATATTAATTATAATATATAAAACAAATATACATAACTATACAACAATATATAAATAAACAATAATATCTAAATAAATATTATATATGAATATTCTTCTATCTAAAATACTTTTTTGGTCTGTTATGGGGCTTGAACTCAGGGCCTGGGTATTATCCCTGAGCTTTTTAGTTTAAGGCTAGTGCTCTATCACTTTGAGCCATAGCATCACTTCTGGTCTTCTTGTGGTTAATTGGAGGTAAGAGTTTCACAGACTTTCCTGCCTGGGCTGGCTTGGCACCATTATCTAACATCTTTACCATGTTTCTGTAGCTTACATTCCACCAGGAAATGCCACAAATCAGATTTCTTAAATTCAGTTAACTTGGAGACTGAAGAAAATTGAACATAGCATTACTGAAATTTTGTAAATTTTCTATTTTTAAAATCCAAATTTCTTAAATCCAGTCAAGTAGGAGACTAAGTAGCATTAAATACAAAAGGTACACAGGGGGAGTAGAAAAGATTCACATTTCTTGGTCATTTTTGTCATTTTTTCCTACCTGAAGTTTTGTGTAAACAACTCATTTCTGTGGGTTGTGGTGGAGATGGGGGGAGGCAGAATCGCTGAGTAGGAAACAGGGAAGGAGGCACTCCAGAGCACCTCAGTCTCAGGAGACCCCTCGCCACCCTCCAGTCAGCTTCTTTTTCCTCCTAAGCTGGTCTGTCTCATCATCGTAATGGAATTTGTCTTCCAAAGCAGATCTTGTAAAAATCCAGCTGCTTTCACCCTGATTATTCATCAGTAGAGTCTGACTTTGTCCCCAGTCCACTTTACCTGTGAATTAAACAGGAACCCCTAGACTAAAATTTACAGCAATCCAGAGTTTAACCAAACCCTGAAAAAGAAAAGGAAAAGGGAACTATGACTGAAATTGCACACAGGGTTAGCAGTACACTTGTTTTGCCATACCTTCCTCCCTCCCCCGCACCCCCAGGTGTACCAGGTGTACTCTCAGCCTACTTGTGAAAGCTAACATCCTACCCCCAAGGAGGGGAGGGGGTGAGGACAGGGTGTTCCGCATGCCTTTCTCCAGTTTCCTGTTAACCCTATCCTCCTCAAAACCTTTGCCTAGTTTGGAACCTATTTTCAGTTTGTGCCTGGAGTCCCAGAGCCTAGACATGGGTCCAACCCAACTGATGCAGCCATTATCGTGGGGGAAGTCTGCAAAGGGAGGGTCATAGATTGGGACCCATTTTCCTTCCTTTCTTTCTTGTGCCAGTACTGAGGCTTAAACACAGGGCCTGGGGCTGTCTCTGAGTTTTTGTATTTTTTCTTTTTTCCTTAAAGCTAGCACTCTACCACTTGAGCCGTAGCTCCACTTTGGGCTTTTTTTTTTTTTTTTGGTGCTTAATTGGATATAAGACTGCCATGGACTTTTCTGCCACGGCTGGCTTTGAAATTCTCAGATTTCAGCCTCATGAGTAGCTAGGATGATAGGCATGGGCTGCTAGTGCCTCTTTCTTTCTTAATTATATTTTTATTATCTTTAAGCAATGGTACAAAGGGCTGCCATTCAACACGTCAGTTTGCAGTATAACGCATTTAACTCAAATTGGGGCTTTAAATCCCAACTGTTACCTGGACCAGCCCCTTGGACCTCAGTGACCTCTAGAGGGCTGAATTTGTGGAGGGCAATCATGCAGTTGCTGCCATCCAAAGTGAGCTTAAGGTACAGTGGTGGCACATTGGGGACATAGAATAGAAGAGGGGACCCAGAAAGAGATATAGTGAAGAATGAGAAGAGAATCCCCCACCCTGAATGAAAACATCTTCCAACC